AGGTGCTGCCTTCTCATCATGCATGAGGATGGAAGAGGCTGCTTTTTCTTTCTTTTTTGAAAGATTTTTCCTGTATGGTGTGTGTGCTCCCTGGAGAGACAGAGAGACAGAAAGTGAGAAATCATTCCCAGGGGGATGGCCACGCCACAGTCCTTTCTCTTCCATTCTCCTCTTGGGATTCTGGGCACACATGCACACGCTCTCGGCGTGAGTTTCAAGCCACCAGGCCTGGGACTCATATAACTGTTGAGCACGTGGGAGCCCAGCATCTCCACTACCATGCCGCCTGCTGGCCCTGAGGCTGCTTTTTCTGGATCTAATTGTTGTAAGTTTGCTTCTGTTGGATGGGTGCAGTGGGGAGCACCCCGTGTTTTTCTGGCAGTGGATGGAATCTAGGATGTACCTGATCAGGCTGTATTGGGGATGGCATTCATCAGCCTTAGAAAAAGGGAAGCCACTCGGCCTGGCACTGACCTGATACCCGGATACCTCCCAGGGCAGGGGGTCTGCCCTACACGTCTGTATTAAACTCAACCCCCAGGGAGGCCTCCCCATCCACTAAAACACACAATCTAGGGACCGACTCAAATTCGAAACAAGAAGATCAAAGCTTTTTGAGTTCCCTTCATGAAAAACATGATGCTCATAGGCCCAGCAGGTGGTATAGTGGTTAAGGCGCTGGACTCCCATGTGGTCGACTGTGGTTCAAGTCCTGGACCCGGTGACTTGACATTCATCCCAGGTACATGTGTGTGTGTGCCCAAGATCCCAAGAGGAAAATGGAGGAGAAGGGATTACAGCATGGCCATCTCTCCTGGGGGGGGGGGGGATTTCTTGCTTCCTGTCTCTCCAGAGAACACATGCACCCTATAGCGAAAAATCTCTCAAAAAAGAAAACACACACACACACAACACACTCTACTTTTCTGGTTCAAATCTGGAGACCTCCCTGATCGTTCTAGCACATGCTTACCTATCACATGGGACTGACTGAAGGCTGGGTCGTGGAATCATGACCCTGTTGGGGATGCTCTCTCTCTCTCTCTCCTCATGGAAGAGATAAATAAATAAACAGACTTAAAAAAAAAATCCAAAGGGAGTAGAAAGTGAAGTTAGTTTTGCTGGCAGGAAATTAGAGTCAATAGGGGGAACCGTTCTTAGCTGGTAAACAGCCTGACCATAAACCACAAGTAGCCCGACTGGCAGTTCAGGTGGGGGCTTCTCTTGGGACCACCAAAAGCTGAGTCGGTGGGTCAGTTAACTTTCATTATATAACAAAGCACTCCACAACTTAATGGCTTAAAACAACCCCACACACTCAGCTCAGGAGTCGATGACAGGTCATTTGAGCTGGGCTCAGCAGGCTCCCTCACACAGAACTAGGGAAGGCCAGGAAAGATCCTGCACGGAGCCCTTGTTCTGCCTGGCCTCAGGGCTCCCTGTGGCCTCCAGAGGCTGCGGGGGTCATCCTGGGATTAGGTTGGTGGAGGGCTGACTACCCCAGGAGTGGTTCTTCAATCAGGGTCGAGGGAGCCCCCCTAGCCCCTGTACCTCTCAGGAGGGATAACTCTGAGATGTGTGGTCCTCACCGACTCCCAGAGGTGCCCAGCAGGATCATTGCCTGAAGTTAGCATTTGCTCAATATTACTTCTGATGTTGGCTGCCTGCCCACCCACGGCCCACCTCCTTATACCCCCTGTGTTTCCTGGAGTCCCTTCCTAAGTACCCCACTTATAGTCATTATTATCTTGGGAACTACTTTTTTGGGGGAGGGGGCCGGAGTTTACCTAAACAGAGAATGACTTATCTGATGAATCGGAGGAAGAATTTCAGCTTAGAGGATTCAACCCTTTCTGGGTCTCCCTTTGAGAGGTAGTCTGTGGGACCAGCAGTTAGCGTAATGGCTATGTCGCTGGACTCCCACGTAGTCGACCGCGGTTCGTGTCCCAGACCCGGTGGCTTAAAACTCACGCCGGGCACGTGTGCGTGTGTGCCCAAGATCCCAGAGGAGAAGGGATTGCGGCGTGGCTATCCCCCCTGGGGGGGTGATTTCTCGCTTTCTATCTCTCTGTCTC